CTTTTGCAAGAACTTTCACCATAACATATGTTATGTTGATCATTTTTTTGTGATCTGCAACAGTGTCCACTATGCTCTATTGTTTTGCATAAAATTTGGTGTGATATAAATTTTGTATGTTGTATAACTATTTCACAAACACAGTCGATTATTTCCTTCAACTAATAAATGTGCCCCAAATTTTTATATGTAAATCCCCTGCTTCATACATGTATCACCAATTAATACACTAAAAAAAATCATTTTTATTTATAAACGCAAGCATATGTAAATACAGTTAATTTATTTCAATGAACTTATCTCAGCAATTATAATTAAATTTTGTTGAAGCATTATATAATAAATCTCAAATGGAATTGTTAAAATGGTTAACTGTAATGACTTTATAATTGATGCATAATAAAGAAAAAAGACTTTTTTATGTTTTAAATGTTTTAAAAAAATAATAGTAAAAAAAATATAATTTTTAAAAATCTATTGAAACAAAGATAATTTTATCATCCATAAATAATTATCATGGATAAAATAATGAAGTTACCAATATAAGTTTGAAACTAACCAAATACAATACAATAATTGACTAGCATCATCAGGAAATTTTTTCTGATGCAAGTTTACATCCATAAGTTTTAATATGAAATGACGTAATATTTCGCATAAAAAGGACGTAATATTTACACTGAATGTAATAATTGCATAATTTTTGTGCAATTTTTGGATAATATTACACTATTTACATAAGTTTATGGCGGGCCCCATAATATTATGTAAATTTATGGCGGGAAAAGTTTCCTGATGCATAGTGCTCACCATCTTTATTGATGTCATATATATATAATAATCATTCTCAATTAATGTCACTAAGGTATAAGATACGGTCAATCCATGATGAACAATCTGGCTGTTGACTTAAAACATTATTAAATTGATATTTTTTCCCATTGTCATCATTATTAATTTGCCCAGAACCAATGTCTAAGTTTACACCTTGATTATTGTTATTATTGTCACTAAATGTTTCATCTAAATCTTCACTATCATCAAATGTATCATCATCATTATTGTTACCACTTCGTTCTGATCTTAATTTTGTTGATAAAATTGTCTCAGTAGTGATACTATTATTGATTTTTTCAAAAATGCATATCAATCCTTTAATTAAATCTTCACTACAAGCTTCATATGGACCAGAATATTCGTAATTAATATCATTATTAATTGTAAGCATTCCCCTAAACAAGTACCTGAAAAGAATAAATTCATCACCAAATAGGTAGAAATACAAAAAAAAATTTTGAAGAAAAACACATTATTTTATTTAAACTTGCCAAACTGATCCATTTGATAGCAAAACATATCCCTCCTTGATACCAAAAAAATCTAATTCTGCTAATAAACTATCCATAGGTCCAATGATTTGTGTAATTTTTGTTTTCCGCTGATCATTATCCATTGATGAAATGGTTTTTACTTCTATGGGAATTCTCTTTCTATGACTAAGTTTTTCAATAACAGACAAATCATCCTTACCAACTAATTTATAACGGTTTGATTTATATGATTGTTTTCTGTCATTCCACATAAAGTTTGTATATGTTTTCAATAATTCAATGAAATGAATAGAAATACCAAGAGAAACTAGAACTTCACCAGGTATTGAAATAAAATTTTCTGTAGCTTTTGATAATCCAGTACGAATATTATTTGCAATATTGTTTATTAATTCACTATTTGGTGGATAATTGACATCTGATGTGATATTCCAAATTCCAACCAAATCAACTACATCTTGGAATTGAGTCCAGTTTGCTGATGATGCTGCACTGTATTCAGATTTTGATTTTTGTCTGCGTAGCTGCTCAACTATTTTTTTGCTAAACTGATCTAACAAATCTATTAATTATGGAACAAAAACAGTAATAAATAAAGGAAGAAAAAAATGTTGATGATAAAAAATTCCAAGTTATATGTATTAATTAAATAAATTCATTTTTTCACCCAATAATGCTTACCTTCATCTAATATTATACAATATAAATAAACATAACAAATGGCATAAATTAGTCAGTGCTACAGATAATATGCTAGATGTTCCTTTACTTACCAATTCCTTTAATGATACCAAATTATGAGAATGTAAGATGAGAGGATGATTTCAAAAAAAGAGTTGAGTGAACATTGTAAAAGGAACAAGTGAATGTTGAGAAAAGTAATGGATAATATATCAGTGAATCAGTAATAATAATAACAAAAGAAAAAATTTCACAAGTTAATAACAGTATACCAATACAGTCGACTTTCGATATAGTGAACCTACCGTATAGTGAATCGTACTATATAGTGAAGTTGGTGAAATTCCATTATAATAGATTCAGCTCGATATAGTGATTTTAATATATAAACTCTCTATATAATGTATAGTGAAGTTTTTTTGCTAAAAACCAACCCTTCACTATATCGAAAGTCAACTGTACTCTCAAATGAATAATTATAAATAAATAAACAAAATGAAACAAATGGAAAAAAAATTTTTTTTTACGCAATTTGTTCATTACCTTTTTCCTTTTCACCAAATTTCTTTTTTAACAAATCACCCCAATCCATCTTCTCCTTCTTCAATTGCTTCAAGTCCTCCTCCAATCTTGCTTTTTCCTGTTCCTCTTTTTCATCAAGCTCTTCTCCATCTCTTATCTTTCTCCATATCTTTTCCAGCCATATTCCCTTCTCTCCACCCTCAAACTCATTCAACTTCTTTTCTGCTTTTTCATATTCCTCTTCGACTGTTACCATTTCTTAAAATTAAAAAAAAATTTTTTTTATTGATTTATAGATTGTAATTGTTGCAATTAATTGTTTCTATAAATAATTTGGACCAATGATAAATTAGTGGGCACATGACTTGGAATTTATTTTTACGTACAGTGCAAATCACTTAGTCCCACAACTTTTTATTGGTTGTGTAGATTTTCAAATTCTCCAAAAATAGAAATACAACACCCAAAAATAAATCGTGTATTTGAAGCCAAGACCTTCCTCTGCAAAATCACGATTTCATCTCATTGGTATGTCATGTTGTTGTGGAGAATTTGAGCTTCAAAGTTGCACAAGTTTACCGAATTTACTATGTTTTAGCCCTGAAATGGCGTGTTACACACAAAAAAGTTAATATCAAAAATAGGCGAATTGAAACAAAATAAAAATAAAATTTTTTTTTATATTGCTAATCTTTTATCACGTGAATTTCCCAAAAAGAATTTTACAACAAACAAAAATCATGTGACCATAAAATTTTTATTGCATTTTTTGATTGGGAATTTTTCCCAAAATTGATGGTGTGGCGCAGAAAGTTGTGGGACTAAGTGACTTGCACTATACAATGATTTAATGACAAAAGAAAATTATTTTTATTTTAATTCAGCTAATAATAGAAAAATACATAAATAATTTATAAAAATATAAGAATTGTCAGAGCACTTGCATGGGAGGAAAATACTCAGACCTAAAGCCATTTGTAAGTATTACCTATTCATTGGGCACTCTGACAAAAATCTAACTTTCACTATTACTACTGCTATTATTATCGATGATGTTATTATTAATATTTGTATGTTATTCGTTTTCATTACCTTCATCAACTTCACTCTCCACTTCTTTCTTCTTTTCTTTGTTGACCTACTCCTGAATTGCTTCTATCGTTTTTCTTCTAGGATTTGTTTTTCGTTGATAGAAATTTTTTATTGTGGAAGTAGCAACACCTTTTCCCTCTGCAAGTAATTTCCATGACCATTTCATTAAATGAAAAATCAGGCTTCAGTTCAGTCTTTTTGTCAAATAATTGTTTGAAATCCTTCCATAGATTTTCGATTTCTTGTGAATATTGTTTATCATCAGTAAGTTTGTTTATTTTACTTTTGAGTTGGCTTTTTCTTGGTTCTATTTGATCAATTTTTTGATTTATAATATAGAATTGATTTTTGTAAGTTTTATAGTGAAGTAAGAAACCAAGCAAAAGTCCAACTAAGGTGGGATTATTTACCTTGTTCCAATGTCAATGAGAGAAAAACAAAGACTTGTAAAACATATTCTTGAATGTAGTAGAATTCGTTCAAAAACTCAAACAACGTTTTTTTATTGATAAGCAATGCAGTATGATGATCATTAATTACATTTTGCATAAAGGAGAATTTTCTTTGTAGTAATAGTCAGAAAAAAAAATAAATCAATATCATAATAATAAAATTGTTTTCCTTCTAAAGATTTCTGCTTTTTGTTAGGTAATAATGCATCATCATGTTGCTTTCTTTTTCTAACACTTATTATGTTTCTTTCTTCATGGTAAATTTCATAGGTAATCCTTTCTTTTCTTAGATATGTTTCTAGTGTTTGAGTATCATTTATTTTGAAAATATAAGGAGCAATTTTCTCACCTTGTTCTTTCTTCAAAATACTTCTAATGGTGCTGTAATTCTTAGGTTCCATAGTAGATCTGATGTAAACTAACTTCATATTAACTATTTTTATATAGGGGCAATTCTATATATCACTTAAGATAGCAAATGGGATATTATAAAACTGTTAATTATATAATCACATTACAAATGACTAAATTTTGAACCCTGTAATTCTTGGTAATACCAATGTTCACTTTGTCTGGTTTTGTTGCAGCATGCCCCATATAATTATATATTGAACCATTAGTGGTGAAGTCCATTCATCAGACCTAATTATAATGAATGATGCATACAAAAAATTAATATTTTAATTAAACAACCTTTAACATGTAGAATTTTTTCACTTTCAAGTCCTGACTGTTCTATCCGTGCATGCAACCTCAGATGTCCAGATAACTTTTCTCTAGATGATAAATTGTATCAGGTACTGCAATTCAAAATAAATCAATTATTATGGAATGAAAGATCATAACAAAACCAAGCCTTTAAAATAGCCTGATCCAATAAATGTGCCTTTATAGTTGAAAATGATTAGTGGTAACTGTTTGATTGTTTGATTTATGTTGAACTGTTTATTTCTGGGTAAAGAGGTACTTTTAGCTAAATAATCACACCATAAGATTTTGACATTCTCTGGAGCATATTCACAAATTTTTGTGATCTTTTTCTTGTCCATCTTTTCCTACATCATTTGATATAAGGATTTATAATGACCACTAATAAACGATTCTTCTTTATTATTACATGCCCCAATCTAAATGTTTGCCTTTTCTTTTAATCAAAGAATTATTTCATTATTGTGAAGAGAGAATCAAGAAAGTTATTGTATTACCTGAGAAGTTGTCATTTTTTCTATACACTGCAATGATTGACTCGTAAAAGGTTACACACGTACTTGAAACCTGGTATATCATTTCCTAAATAGGATTTTTAACCAATCATCTTGATATTATTAACAATGTATTTAGCATACAGGACAATGAAATATTTCTTATTTTCTTTTATTTTTTATTTTAATACTGAAATATTATTTTATTTAAAATGAACGGCTAGTTAAATCAATAAATTATGGGTATTTTATCAATTACATTGAATTAATGCAAAAGAAAAAAAGTCTGATATTAATCAAATGACAGAGAAATGGAATCCTAGCCGTTAATCACTAATTATTTAACAATAGAATAAAATTGTTTTAGAAAAACTATATTATTACTAGTGCTATTCTTGTCACTGCTGTTTTTATTCTTATTCCTCCTCTTCAGATTTAGGAAGTTTTTGCTTGATTAGCATGAATTCATTTGGATATTGTTTGTTTATTTTTGTTTTAATCAATCTAATTAATTTTAAAAAGTTAGCATTCGTTTAGAGTGTGTGAGTGTGCGAGCATGCAAGTATGATTGATATATGCACATTTCATTCACCTTATTTTTTTAAAAATGTAATCTAAATCATTTTTCATTTCCTTGATATTTTTAGTATGCATTTCAAACCTTTTAAATAATTCATCGTATTTACATTGACTAAACTCATTGAAATTAGTTAGGCCTGTTACTGATTTTTCAACTGTTTGATGACTTTTTATAATAAAAAGTGAAGAAAAAAATAAAGTTAGAAATTATAATAATATTCAATGAAACATAATAGTAATCAAAATTTAAAGTATTATACATGAGCGTTTGACTTTGTACTATATCATCCAAATCTTTTTCATTGGTCATTTCTTTCATACGATTCGTCACATAATTAGAAGCCTTATACAATATTTCATTGTTTGCATTTTCTTCTTGCATTATAGAATATGTAAGATGTCAAATTTTTTTTGTTTTACAATACGTTGTTGATCATTTAAGAATGTGTTATTGATTTTAAATTTCCTATAATGATAATTCACGGAACCACATGAACACCTCCACAGAAACTTCAAACAATCAAGAAGAAGAAGCTTCTTCAATATCCGGCGAAACCACTACAATAAAATTTACTCCATGTACCATATGTTCAGAACCTGGTTGTATTACTAGTAAACAAATAACAACAACAACCATTAAAGTGATAACAGTAGTCATAAGAAATGAAGATGGAGACAGTATAACTAATTCATTTGTCGAAACAGACGTGTCACCTGTTGTAACTACAATAGAAACATCTGACCCATCACAAATTGAAGTTGAAACAACCGAATATCCACGACAACCACCACAACAAGAAGAACTTCGTCAAGAAGAAGAGATACAGGAAGTAGAAAATGGCATTAATACACTTACTATTATCGCTGAATCAGATTAATTTCTCTTAATTATTTTCAAATTAATTAATTAATTATTAAAAATAAAAAAAGTTACAACTAATAAATGATGATAATAGTTGGTTACTTGATTAGAAGAAATATCTTGATGATAACTTAGATTTTATAGAAGGTGAAGAAGCACTCAAAGGAAAAAATTAAGAGAAGAGGCAAAGAAATAATATTGATTACTTCTTTAACCATTTATATGTAATAATAATATATTTTTTCCATTCATTTTATTAACTAAAGCCAAAAAAGTCTTTTATTCTAATTCGAAATCTTTAAAATCCTTTATTTCCAAGTCATTACAAAAAAAGGGCGAAATAGAAATGAACAAATGAACAAGAATTTTTTCTAACTTTTATCAATATTTATCAATGTATCATCATAACAAAAAAATATTCAGATAGAAATATCATTATTGCAAGTTCCGATATGTCGAAATGTTTCATGATCAGATTGCCACAAAAATTATGTAGGGTTGTATAAGTATTGGTTTACATATAATAGAACATTCTGATTAAAATTTACAAACACCATCTATATTGTTGGTATGATATGATAATAAAAGTTAAAATTCGTTATCAATGAAAATGACTTAATTTGGAGCACCTTGGCTTGAGGAAAGATTTAACTTGCAGAAAATGTTTACGTAATTAAGACATGAAATTGAAGGTGTGAGTCGTGTTAATTAATTTTTTTTACAGAGTTCTAAATTAATATAGGAACGATCTTCGAAACGAAGTGAATATATGTTGCGAACCAGTCAATATAACAAAATGATATTATTCCACGTGTGTAATAACGCTCTGAAAACTCAAATATATAAGAATACAGCCAGATGGTTAATCAAAAACTTTTTTATGAATTACTATAAAGATTCATTATTAATATAATGAAATCCATAGATTTTTATTACTACTTCCATGGTTTTTTATAATTAACAAAATCAAATGGTTTGCTAATTAAACTATTATAGTCCGTTATTTCCTCACCAGTATAAAATGAATATTTAATTAAATTTGAACCTGCCCCTGATTTTGAAGAATTATTATCATCATGAATTTTGCTTTTTTTCTCCAACTCTTTGAAATCATTCAAAAATTTAATTTGCATTTTTTGTTCTCTGGTCTTTTTTTGTGTCATCTTCAAAGTTTCTTCCTTTAACATAATGTGAACTTTTAATGTGTTAATTTCCTTTTGAAAACTTTTATTCTTACCATGTAAACTACTTGATGATGATTGGGTGTTGTTTAGTGATGACGATTTAGCAGCATTTTTTAGATTTTTTAACTCTTGAAATAATAATTGATTCTCTTCTGTCAACTCTTTTCTAACCTTTTCCAATTCATTTATTTGTTCATCATATTTTTCATTTTTTGATTCCAACTTATTATTTAACATTTCATGGGATTGTTCTTTGATATGTATTAATTCATTTAGAGTATTATGCCTGCTTTGTATATTTCTTTTGTATATTTTAATTTGTTTTGATATTGTTTCATTTAGTTTTCTATTTTTTAATATAAATTCCAAGTCATCATTAAGTGCATTTTTTTCTTCTTGTATTTTGATATTCTTTGTATATAATCCTTTTATTTTATTTATGTATATATTTAAATCTTTTTCAAAAGTATACCTCTCTTTTTCTATGTCAGAAAGAGCTTGACTGACATTTGTAATGCTATTTATTGTCTTTCCCTATTATTATATATATGTTATTTTTTTTAATAAAATAAATAAATAATTGAATAGATAAATGAATGAATAAACAAACTTACTGAAATAAGCTTATCATTATGATCTAGTTCATCACCATTAGTTTGAAATTCCTTTAAATTATTGTATTTATTTATAATCAGTGTTGATTCTGAACCATTGATCGTTGTAGGTGTATTTGGTGGAGAAATATCTATTATTTCAATATCATTTGATTGGATATTTGATCGATGAACATTTGGATTACCATTTGTTTGATCATTCAGTTGAACCTGCTGGGCAAGTTGAATTTGTTGTGGTTGATATGTATCATGCGCTGCTAAAGACAGCTTTGGTCTTATATTTTTTTGTAGTCGTGGCACTGGTTGATTAGGTTTTATCACTTGCATTGGTTGTGGTTGTTGAAATTGTTGGATCTGTTGATATTGATAAATATGTTGTTGCATCCATGATTGTTGAATTTTTTGTGATTGTTGAATTTGTTGGGTTGACTGAACTTGATGAACATGGTGTATATGTGTTTGTTGTATTTGCTGTAGTTGTTGCATATGTTGTAGAATTGGTTGAACTTGCTGAATATGTTGATGTATCAGTGACTGTTGCATTTGTGGTTGTTGCATGTGTTGCTGGATCGGATGAAATAATTGCATTGGTTGAATATTGTGTGGTTGTATTAATTGTATTGGTTGTATTAATTGTATTGGACGAACCTGTTGAATATTCTGTTGCATTTGTGGTTGTATTAATTGCATTGGGTTAATATATTGTATTGGCTGTATTGGTTGAACATGTTGCATATATTGTATATGCTGTAGTTGTTGTTGAATATCATTTTTAATATTATAATTATTGTGTATATTATTTGGAATATTACTTGGAATAATGTTTGGAATAATGTTTGGAGCAATATCATTATTATTATTTTGAAAGTTATGATTTTGGATGTTATTGTCATTTATGTCTGTTGGATCATTATCATTATCATCATCATCTATTATCAAAATTTCTTTATTTAAAGAATTTATTTTTTTATTCCAATCTTCTATTAATTTTTTAGAGAGATTACTTTCTGGCTCCTTATCATGACACATATATAGGAAAAAAAACATCAAAAAAAAATTTTTTTTTTCCAGATATAACAAAAGAATCAAAAAAAAGAACAGTTATAATAATACCCAAGTCAACTCCCAACTATCTCCATAAATATTTACACCTGCCCATTTTATTAAGTAATGTTTAACGCCCTTTTGAATTCTTTCATCTAAAATGCATTCAGGAGTTCGAACAATGTCTTCCATTTTATTTTGTTTAAAAAGGCCCCAATGATGGTTGAGTTAAATAATAACTATTATTGTTGTCAAAAATATTAAAGTATAGTATTGAATGAGAATTCTTGAGAAGAGTGAAAAAAAACAAGCGAAATAATTCGTGTGATCAAAATTAAAAATATCTGCATTAACAATGTTACACGAATACTGCGGGCAATACGCTAATCAATCCTCCAACAACAGCTATTTATTATTATTATCATTATCATCATCATCATGTTCTTCAAAACACCTCTGGCCTTTTCTGATTGTTCAAGGAAAACTTTAAGGCAAGCATTTAAGTCACGATTTCACGACATAATTGAATTGTTATTGTGGAACTTTACCACATGTTCATCAAAGTTAATATTAATGCACTTATCCATTTTGGTCATATTTATTATTTTTAACGAAAGAATACAACTCAACCAAATCAGTGCAACATACTTTGTAACAATTTATAAAAGATTGACAATATTTTGGTAATATTTAGAAAGAATTGACAACGATGCTATCTATCTCTCTTTGGAAATTTTCGAAGGAAAAGTAAAATGTGAAGATACCATTAAAAATTTGGGAATTAATCATTATTGATTTAGTATTAGCATCGCCAGAAAAACAAATTGGAATTTTAATTCATTTATTATTTTAAAAAAATTATTTAAAGGAAATCAATCAAGTTTTTTTTTTGAAAAGATTCTTGTCTTTTTGGAAAATGAAGAAAAAATGCAACAATTTGGGAAATTGTTTTATTAAAATATTATTTCTAATATTAAAAACGATAATGCCTTTTATTATTAATTTTCTAATATTAAAAACGACCATGCCTTTTTTGAAAGTGTGAAGAAAAAAAACGTAACGATTCGGAATTAATTCAACTTTTTAATTTAATTAAACATCGAACCGTGCCTTTTTTTGAAATGTAGGAATTGAACGAAGCTTTTTTCGAAAAAGGTTCTCCTGTTGCTTATTGCGAAGAAGAAAAATGTAACAATTCGAAAATTTGATTCATTATTTAACAACCACGCCCTTTTTGAAGTGGTGAAGGAAATCCTCATCAATATAAAAAAATAGTGGTAGAGTATGAATTCATAAATTGTAAAAAATAAATAAATTGTTAAAAATAAACAAAACAAATAATAATAAACAATAAATAACAAATAATAATTAAAAAAATAAAAATAATAAAATAACATGTGTTCTATTTTTGTTTCCAATTGTTTCATTAAACATGTAACTTCCACTGAGGGAACAATCAATGGAACTGCTCTTTATAGAAACGACAATGTTTTTAGAGAAATTAGCTTCAAAGGATATTATGACAAGGCAAACAATGTGTTGAATTCTTCCCAAGCATTCAACTGTCGTCCTGGTCGGGAGATACGTTATAGAAGAGGGAGTCGAATATATTTTTTATTCTTTTATTGGAGGAAATTAATTATTTGCCTGGTCATGAAAGTTTTGCCAGTTCCATCCGAGCCAGTTAAAAAAAAGTAAGGATATTTTCCATCTGATCTCCTACCCCAACTATTACATAAAATGCTATATATTTCATACTGTTCATTCTGAATTGAAGCATACACCTATTTGCAGCTCCTACTGGTGTTGTGGCCCAAAATATTGATGGAAAACTATACATTCGTCCTTAAAAATAAGTTTTTGGGAGGGAAGTTATGAAACATTAGCTCTTTCCAATCCTGCAGACGTAACAGAATTAAAAAAGATCAAGGCACTCATACTTGAAGAAGTGTCAATGGTTGATAGTGACCTTTTCACATTTGTTAGCAACATCCTAAAATTCATAAAAACAATCTTATCTTTGGAGAAATACCAACACTTGTTGTAGGAGACCTAGATCAACTCCCTCCAGTTTGTCCTTCTCAAGTATTTAGATCACCAGTTTGGAAAAAAAATTTCCTACTATTCTTAACTATGCCACAAAGGCAGATAAATGATGTTGAATTTTACAGGATTCTCCAAGAGATAAGAACAGGAAATTTGTCAGTTAGAAGCAAGCAAATGATCCAAACAAAATTAACCAAGAAACTGACCTTTGTAGTTTCTATGATACCACACATGTGGTCAGCACTCAAAAAGCAGCTCAATCCCTCAACACAATATTTTTTAATCACCACCCTTTTGATGAAACATGCAATGATCCACTAGTTTTTGAATGCATAAACACACTGGAATTTGAAATATCAAATGATGATCACTCAATTGCTCAATTCAAAAACTTAAAAAACTTGCCTCATAAATTGTATCTACAAGCATGTGCGATGTTTCTTAATAATAAGCTATTTGATGAAAAATATGCAATGGAACTATTGGAATAGTGACAAAAATTTATGATGAGGAGAATGTTGAGGTGACCTTTCCTACCTTGGCCAGCATAAGCAAGGTTACTGTCCAAAGAGAAACATCTTACTTTGAAGTTTATGGTAAGCGAGCATCAAGGAATCAATTTCTTCTTCAGAATGCATTTGCTCTGACTGTTCATAAAACTCAAGGATTGACTTTGCCACGTGTAACATTGAATGTTGACGAAAGCATGTTTGCTGAAGGACAAGTGTATGTTGCAATGAGTCAAGCTCTCTCGTTGGAAAAATGCAAATCATTGATTTTGATTATTCCCAATTAAAAATTTCCAGGACGGTTTTGGAAGAGTATGAAAGATTGGAGGCTGTGAGCATTGATGGGTTGCAAAAACTAACAACGCTGTAAAAGAAAATATTCTTTGTAAAATATTGAATATAATTAATAGTATTAAATTTTTAAAATTCCACACTGATGCTTGTGTAATGTGATGATTACACGAACTCGCTGTAACCTATTTAAATTTTGAAGGCCACATGGCGCAGCAATATGAGGTTTTTTTATAGTGTTTTATTATTATATATATTATATATTATTATGTTTGTGTTTATGCGTGACAAAATTTAATTCGTCTTAGTGTTAGTATTAGCCAATTGTCCATAAGTTAGAGTACCTGAAACATTCTCTTTCAATTCTTTTTCTTGTTTTTTCTAGATCGTTATTTTCATATTTCACGCTCATTATGAATATAAACGAAACTTTAGGTTTTCGCCATTAGCTTTATGCCTTGTTAGAAAAATAAGAGAGTGAATATCGACGAATAAATGAATCTATTTGTTTGAATATATCAAATTTTGATCAGAAGGAATGTTTCAGAAGATTTTTGTGTGATTACAGTAAACTGGACAATGATTTGACAGTGGAGGAGAAATCGTATATATATGTTGAATTAATGGATTTATGATTATTAAAATAATGTAAAAAAAATTCTTTATCACCAAGTAACATTTTGATTTTTGTTATTATTATTATTATTTAAATATTTTTTCGGTAGTTTTCAAGTTTAAATTTTTGTTATTAAAGTTTAATTATATATACTATATTCTACAAAGATGTTATGAGTTTTTTGAATTATAGTCACTAGAGTTTTGACATATATTTAATATATTTCGTTACGTATTTATTTTTCGGTAAAAAATATATCAATAATACGAAAATTATATCAGTTTGTAGCTTAAGCTCTGAAAATTATGCATGTAAAATTGATGTGTGATTTTTTTTTAATGATTGCTCTAAAGCATACATAATAATACGCATCAAAATTTTACATAAGATCTTTTGATTCTTTGATATGATCAATATCGTGTGATTTTGGTTGTCTGCGCGATTTTTTTCGTAGAAATCTGGTTCTTAGTAATTATTCTTATTTATAGTGATTTATTTTTGCAAAACTCATTTAACAAGTTTAACTATGTAATTGTTAACAATTTAACAATTTAAATACATTTAACAAATTAGAAATTGAAGATAATGAAGGAATTTATAGAACGAAGAAAAGGTTATGGGGTTATTGATGAAATTAATTTGTTCTAGAACAAACTCCCGGATGCAAAGTATTATTTGTTTATTGATCATTACACTCAATATTTCATAAATGTGCGCTTCGGCAAACTTATTTTATTACTATGATGTTTAATAATAATGTTAATCTGATCATTTATTTATATCTTATAGCTCTTGCTATTGGAGAATATTAGATCTCGCTATAGAATCATTGTTCAATTTAATCAATTGGCATACTAAAAAGTCCTCCAACTTTTTTTTTTGATAACAATTGTACGAAAATGGATGTTGACGAGTATAAGAATTCTCATAAAAATTCATTACAAGTATCGAATTGTTTCTTAGACAAGCTGGTTTACCGCAGCAATTCTAATATGAAAATGCTTTGTCGGAAACATTTATTGGTAAAATTCTTTAATATTAATAAATCCAATTTTTTTCAACTAACGATACCAACAATAATCTTTCATCGTTAATAGAATTTTACACCAACATCCAAAAAGCTTCAATATCTATTACAGGTCCTCACGGCATTGATGTGTTATTCTTAATATCTTTCGATTTTTATTAGGTCTTCTTCATAGACTTGTGTTAATAGTCTTTACTTTTTGCTCCTCCTGATAAAATCCATAATCCTTTCTTATCTAAATATCATTGAATAGTTTTGGTACTATTTATACATGAGGTGCAATTTCCTACCTTGTTCTTTTTTCAAGATTTTTGTAATTCTTGGGTGGTTCTTGTGTAAATTAATATTAATTTCATATTTATGTTTTTATATCGGATAATCTTATGTATCATTTAAGAAAATAGAAACAAAATTGAAGAGAAAAGGATAAACTTTTATCTGACTCTTGAATCATTTTGTGAAGCAATAAAAGGGCTGTATGACAAACATATTCATATAATGGTGGAAAACACAAAAATTTTATTAAATAAACTTCCTATATAGAAGGATCTGTATTCTTTTTAATATATGCATATTTGCTATTCAAGGATCATCTTTGACAGGCGGGGAAGTTTAGGTTTAGGAAAGGGACAAGAGGCTTCAGATTTTTAATCATTACATAGGTGAAGATTCCCTGTGTCTCAATGGTAAAAGTTAATCCTAATATCAATCCCCGAGGTGTTGATTAAATTTTTTTTATTTTTACCTTCATGTCGAAATAGATAGCGACATACTTTAAAGATTTGATGATCTTGATCGGAGAAATAAAAATAAGTTAGATTGCTATCAAAAAAAATTTTGGTGATTTGCGAATTTCATTTTGTACCACTGAAATTGTGAAGTTCATTTTGCCTGATTTTTGTTGCAGGATACCTCATTTATACATGCATCATAATTTTTTTATTATGATTTTGTTTAATGTTAACAATTTTTTAAAAGCAAAAGATGAAATATATAAAAAATATATTAAAAAGCTGAAAGCTTAACATGATTGGCATCACAAGTGCTGTGAAGTTGACCTTCCGAACACATTTGATCAACAGCATTTCTAATAAATTATAAAAGTATTTATTTAAATAAGTGTAATAAGAAAATGTGTTTACATATTATACATTAACACATAATTAACAATAATAATATGATGCTTACATGACAACCATATCATCAGATTTATGATTTTTTGATAATACTTTGGCCATTTGAGCAACATCAACTCCTGTGACATCATCAGAATTACTAGTAACATAACTAATTATGTCTCTGTATAATTGATTCTTTAAATTCTGTGTGCTGATATTACTATTGGATCTAAACTCTGATTGATAAATTGGACTTGTCCTAGTAATGCTTTCTTGATTAAAGTCTGGTTGATAACTCGAACTTGAACTTGTGATTGTATTAATACTATTTATTCGAATATCATTTTCTTTAAGGAGCGCACGAGATACCTATAATTAGCCATCGTTATAGAAAATATAAATACATACATACAAATATGTATACATGTAGTAGATTATTAGAAAAAAATTTTTTATTTTCAAAATTTTTAAATTTTCTAAAATGTATTTTTTTTAAGATTGAATGTTTGCTAATCACATTTTTTATAAAGTACAAATGTTCATAGACAACACGAGCTATATGACAACTGATCTCATTAAAATCTTCAAGAGGTTTTATTTGCAAAGCTATCACATGTCGTATATTGTTAAAAGTTTTTAGATTTCCAACCACTCTAACATATATATTTTCTCTACAAAATAAATAATAATTATCAGTTGTAATCCTTCCTACATATATCATATATAAAAATATATTCATAATAAATAAATTGCACTTACTTTATATCATTATTTGTGGTCATCTCATGATCATTATCCTGCCAAATCTTTACATCAATCAATCCACTACCATCTTCCATTATATAGTCAGTGTTAGAAGTATAAGATGAAACACTATTAATAACAGCTATAAATGTAACCTATTAAGATAATAACATTTTTGATTAAATATATAATAAAAATAAATGAAACGAAATGAAAATTACTTTGTACTAACATATCCAACTTCATGGTCATCAATTTTAATTACAGTATTATCATCACTTATTTCAGCGTTAAGTAATTGTTTAATGGTAACATGCCTAATTAATCTGCCAGCTTTATTTGATGTTCCCTATATTAATATATATATACACACATATATAAATATACAAAAAAAAATTTTTTTTCATTCATTATTTCATTATCACTATTATTATTTTATGCTCTGGGTAAAACTAACTTGTGATGTTTCATCAATATTTCCATAAAAAGATCCAAAATGTTCTTCAGCTATAGAATAATCAGATATATTGGAATTTACACTACCGCTAGAGATTCTATTGGATCCAGGTGTGTAATCTGAAAACCCACTTCCTAAATGTAAGTTTATATATTAATATATTTATTATCAGACAAGCAAAAAAACCCAAACTTTTGAATTCTTAATTTAATTACTACCTGACATCATTTTTAAAGAAAATTATCACAGTATTATTAATATTATTTTAAACTCGTGCATTATTTCCATTTGTAACACCATTAGTTACACGATTTCACTTGAACATACCACAGGACCGGGACTTTAAAAAACTTTAAAAAACTTTAAAAAAGAGGTGGCAGCATGCATAGTGGAAATTTGAAATGTTACACTAATTTTTTATATTGTACAATGTAACTTTACAAATACACGGTAAACATTCTGGCAATTGATAAACTGGATTTGAATTGGATCTGAACTTAGAGAGGGTGAAGTTTCAGGAGCAATGAATTCTGTATAACATTTCATGTAACAACAAACTTCCACTATGTTAGAGGTGGCCGCAACACATAACAGTATTTAATATCTGGAATAATTACGAATATCTAGTAAACTTCCAAAATTCACGCAATTTTAATGCTGATCCTTTTTGGAATAAAATCATGTCTAGAAAAATTCTATTATTTAAAGAAAAAAACCGTCCAAGAGAAAAAAACCAACAGTGGAAATGATAACAATGACAGCAACAACGACCATAATGAGCTTGATCCATATGAAGAAGAATTTTAAAAAAAACCAATAATTACACTTGTTTATTTCTACTCATATGTTGATTGGAATATCAGATTTATCAAAAATATTAAAAAATAATAATCCATTAAATAGTTAATAGTCAAAGAGCCATTGAAGGATTGAAAGTTGCTTGGAATGAAGTTTTCTTAAAATCTGATGATTATTGTTGTGAAAATTGTTATTGATTGATTTATCAATATGATTTATATATCTATCATCTATATTCCATCATCATCACCATTGTCATCACTATCAACGATAAATGAATCATGGTTAAAAATTACAATTTTTGTTGTAGGAAAAGCAACAGAAAAATCAATAGAAAATTTAGTATTTAATAATGTATTTGGTGTCAAAGAATCCGGATCTTCTGAATTATTAGCAAATTACATAGAAACCTATTATGTTGAACATAATTATCAAATCATACAAAAAAAACCAATATTTCCACTTCCACTTCATTTTTATTATTTCTTGTAGGTGGTAAACGTTGTGATGAGTTACCAAAGAAATTATTAGAGGCAAAAATAAATTCCAACAACAATTTATGGAACTAAACCTAATCCACAATTTTCAATTGAATTAAACAAAATTTTCAAAACATCATCACATCATAATGATGATGATTGGTGAATAATATTTTTAGTCCTTCAGGTGTGGATGTAGCAATTGAACCTTTAAAAAAACAATTTGGAGGAAAAGACAGCAACAAAGAATTATTTTGGAGTAGTACCAGTAGTATTAGTAGTAATGGTAATAATAGTAATAATGATAGTAATAATAAAAAAATTAAATTGCTTCAATTGGTAAAACAACAGGTAGATATCTTGAAGATATTAAAAAATTAAAGTTCATGTTGTCAACAAAGCCTGATCCAGAAAGTTTGTTAAAATCTATTGATGAACATTATAATTTATAATAACGATTCCGATTATTTATTATTATTATGATTAGGATTATGATTATAATGATAATCAAATAAGAAAGTTACATGTATATATTCTATATATGTGTATAAAATATGTATAATAATTTATTAGAAAGAATAACAAATTTGTGAATTTTTTAATGCTGTTGCTATCATTATTCATAATTTAGTTATTATTGTTATTATTGGAAAATTGTTTCTTCATGTTTACGTTTAGATACATAAGTTCCAGGTTTTGCTATAGCATTTGGATGAGAAGCCAATTCTGGAGGAACACGAGATATTGGCGATTTCATAATCATTTGCTTTAAATCATACCTAAAACAACAATTATTATTTAGCAACATATCTTTATGAATTTATGGAATCATATATAAATATATATAAATATATATAAATACTCACATAACATCTGCATCTGCAATAGATAAAAATGTAATGGATACACCAGACTTGCCAGCACGACCCGTACGACCAATACGATGTGTATAATCTATATTATCATAATATTCCCCCCAAAAAAAAATCAATATACAAAATCATCATCAGCATCAAAATTAATTAAAGTTCCCATCCATACCTTCAATATTTTTGGCCATATCATAGTTAATAACTAATGAAACATTCTTTACATCAATACCACGTCCTGCAACATCAGTAGCAACTATAATTTATAATTTATGATTATTAATAATACAAATTTTATAAATAAATATTTAATATAATATTATTCAAAATTTTTATAATTATACCAAGTATTTCCATTGTGCCATTCTTAAGTTGTGCTAAAGCACTTTCTCTGTAATAGAGATAGAAAATGTATTGTTAAAATATTTAAAATATTATAAAATTTGTTTTCTAAATTTCAAAAATTTTTTACAAACCTTTGTTCTTGTGTTTTACCTCCATGAAGTGTAGTTGCTCGATACTAAAATTTTTTATTTATTTGAATTAGCAAGGAATCATGCGAAATCTTTCATAATTGATTGGTTCATATAATACAACAACAACAAAACTTACCCCTAGTTTGTTTAATGCTCTAGCAAGAACATCACAGCCTTTTTTCTGATTAACAAATATGATTATTGGTGGATCAAATGAACCTTGTAAAATCTCCAATAATCTTCCCCTATTAAAAAAAAACAAAAATTTTTTTAATAATCGCCAATTTATTAAATGATAATAATAACACATACTTCTTTCTGCCTTCATCAGTTATCATTTCAACTCTTTGTTCAACAGTATCTACTGCTTGACCAGCTGTACCAATAGTAACTACAGCAGGTCTTCTCAAATATCTAAAAAATATTTAAAATATTTAATAAATTAATGATTTTTTTAATAATAAAAGTTGTAGTTCAATTAGTTTACCTTTTAGCTAAACGTTCTACTGCAGGAGGCATTGTTGCTGAAAACATGACAGTTTGTCTATAACGTTCCTTTGTACCAATTTTTTTTAACATTTCAACTGGATTTTCAGCTTCTTCAGTATCTGGCTTAACATTAGAAACTGGTAAAGCATCCAAAATTACATTTACATCTGTTTCAAACCCCATATCTATCATACGATCTGCCTAAAATTTTATTAATTAAATTAATTTTCAATTATAAATAACAATAATAATTATTTTATTGTTAAAAAAAAAAATATATATATAACAGTAGATTATATTCTTACTTCATCCATTACAACATAAGTACACTGGTTAAGAACTAAAATACGTCTATCCAAACAATCTTTCAAACGACCAGGTGTGGCAATAATTATTTCTGCTCCATTTCTTAAATTAAAAGCTTGTTCTTCAACAGCACGCTAAATAAATAACATAAATTTTAATCAACACAAATTTTTTTTTTAAAAAATAACAATAATGCTATTAATTTACTTACACCACCAACAATTGAAACACAATTGAACCCCATAGGAGCAGCAAACTTCATAGTCTCTTGCTCAATTTGTTGAGCCAATTCACGAGTTGGTGCCAAAATTAAAGCATAGGGACCATCTGCCATATTTTCATCACACAATTTTGGAAGATCAGATATGTATACAAGCATTGGTATTACAAAAGATGCAGTTTTACCACTTCCTAAAAAAATAAAAAATAAATAAATTATTTATTAACAGTTGTTTTCTAAATTATATTAAAATAATAATAATAATAAATGATCAAAAATACCTGTTTCTGCTATACCAATGATGTCTCTATTTTGTAAACCTATAGGAATAGCTTGTCGTTGAATAGGTGTTGGTTCCTTATATCCAATATTTTCAATAAGATCAAGTATTCTTTGTGGTAAACCAGATTCCTTCCATGACCTTATAGAATTTGGAATACTGCCACCTTTAGTTGTAATATTGAAATCTTCTTTGAATATACGCCAGTCTCTCTCCTTCATTTCTGTTAAAGGTTTTTCTGACCAGTGTCGATCATCCCACATGGTTTTCAATTCTTTTCGCCTATCAATCTCCATTTTCTCTCTAGATAAATAAACAAATAAGTTATTGATTTTTTTTTTATAAAAATTCAACAATAATAAAAAGTTTTATTTAAAAAAAAAAAAGAAAACATACTCAGCTCGACCTTTCTGATCAAGAGTTCTTCTTTGTTCTAATAATTGATTATAGAATGATGCACGATCTCTTTTTTGCTCCTTAATATCAATACCAGCAAAATGACCACGTCCAAACATTTGAGCATTGTGTTTATTTGCATATAAAGGATTAAAATCTTGTGAAGTATCTTCGCCAGCATCCCAATCAAAAACAAATTTCTTCTCATTCATTTTACGTATTTTACGTTTTTTACGTTCACCACCCATATAACGTTCCTATTTCATATATATAATAATATAGTTTTTGACATGTAAAGAATACATAACCAGGAAAATGTTAAACTAAAATAAATATAATAATAAATAAGATTCATAATAACAGAAAATAGATCAATTAACCCTCTTTCTAAATTAAAAGAAAAAAATTGAAATCATTACCCTGATTGCTTGTAATTCCTTATCATCCATCTTTGAAGTATCATCATCATTATTTTTATTGTTTAGATGTTTGTCATTACCATCTCTATCTCTTCCTTTTATTCGATCACGATCGTAACGATCATATTTATCACGATCATAACGGTCATAATAATCTCGACGATCTCTACCATAACCTACAAGTATAAATATAAGTATAAATAAAAATGCAATAGTGTTTGCATATGTATGTATGTAGGGAATAAAAACAGAATAAAAGATAAAACAGAAATTTCATTAGTACTTTGTCGAGCTTCATCCCTAGCTTTTCTTTGAAATTCATCTTTATGACGTCTTTCCTCTTCTTGTTTTTGACGTTGTTCCTCTACATCTTTTTGTCTTCGCTCCAAAGCCAATTTAGCACGTTCTTCTTTAGTCAAGAATTTTGGCTATTGAAAATAAAAATAATTGATTTATATTTTGATGGTGTTGAGACCGGTTGATGTTTAATGATATTTTAATAAAACAAAGCATCCGTCCGTACCTTATTATTTTCAATTTTTTCTGTTTCTCGTTTTAACATTTTTAATGGTATGGTTTTTCGATTTTTAAAATTGAATGTAATATCATGTGATTGTAGTAGGTCATATATGGTAAAATTTCAATCGATAGTTGACTCCTAAATTTTGTGCAAAAAAATCATTTGTTGTAGATAACAACGACACCAATACAAACACCAATTCCAATTACCAATTCCAATTACTAATTCCAATACCAATTCCAATTACCAATTCCAATACCAATATCAATATCAACACCACCACCACCACCACTACTACAAATAATAATAATAATAATTATAATTATAATAATAGGGAATTGTTATTTGCACCCCCATTTTTGTTATTCGCACCCCTCCCGTGACTAAGTGTAGTAATGTGACCAATGAATGCCTTTAAAATGTGATGATTTTATTGGTTCATCTTTGTCTTAGTCACACAGGAGGGGTGCGAATAACAAAAATGGGAGGTGCGAATAACAATTCTCTAATAATAATAATAACAGCAACGATAGCAAGCAGCTGTGAAACGGCCAATAATAATTATAATACTAGTAGTAGTGGTCCTAATAATAGCAATAACAACATAAATAACAACAAGCACTGCAGTATTGGTCGTAGTAATACATCATCAACATCAACAACAACTAATCAAAGCATCCTCTACACTATCTATACGCAAATGCTATTTTTGCGATTCTCATGGGCACTATCACCATGAATGTCCAAATGTAAAACCACGATACCGAGCCAGCTACTTCAAGTGCCTTGGATATGGCCATTTTGTCGAACATTGTAATGAGCCGCGAAAAAAAAGAGACGGAATATTCAGTGACGGCTATACGAAAAATTAATTTAAAGCGCACGACCGGCACGACCAAGTACGACCATACCAAGCACATCAAGCACGACGTTATTGTTGGGGCGGTCTTTTATTTATTTTTTTTTTGTTTTTTTTTTTTGTACTTTTTGTTAAAGCACCAGGGTTGCCCTAGGTGGACGGTGCTATTTCTTTTTTTTTTTTTGTGAGAATCTAGGTGATATCCACATTAAAAATTTTTTTTTGAAACAAATTATATAGTAATTATCACATTTATATAACTAGTGCTGTTGCTTTATCATCATTGATATATAAAAAAAATAGTCTGATTTTTTTAAACCTTTTCAACTGATTTGAATCCAAAATTTTAAAAATTGCAATTCTACCAATTCTTGAGATAATTTGACGATCTTATATTCGTTCGAAAGCCAAAGTTCCATCATTTATCATATTAAAACAATTGTATGTTGTTATTGTGTAGACTTTAAAGATCGTTGGTAAGTTAAAATATCAACAATCTACACCTAAATTACTCACATAATTAATTAATTCGTGATCCATGATAGAAGTGCATACTGCGCCACGTTTTCTGAAATCCAGGGTTGCTAAGTAGCAAAGTCAAAAACTTGTAAAGAAAACAATAATAAAAAATATGTCAAAATAATGGTTGAGATTTTTTGCATCATATTATTTAATATTCTGTGTAATATTTATCATGTGTGCTGGTAGAAAAAATTCGGAAGTTGGTCAATTGTAACCATTTGATAGTGATGATCCCCCACAATTTACTAATTAATTTTCAGAATTTTATCTACTTCTATCACGTATCACGAATTAATCATTATCATTTGATTTAATCTTCATCAAAATTCAATTGATTGAAATAAAAACCTTTGTAGTATTGCCTCTTAATCTATATGTTATGCTTATACATGATTATCATTCAATGATGTATAAAAAAATTGATTTTGATTTTTTTAAACCTTTGTAACTCATTTGAATCCAAAATTTAAAAATTAGTAATTCTATCAATTCTTAGATAATTTGACGATCTTATATTCATTTAAAAGCCAAAGTTCCATCATTTATCATATTAAAAAAATTGTATGTTGTTATTATGTAGACTTTAAAGATCGTCGAGAATTTAAAACTTCAATAATCTACATCTAAATTACTCATATAATCAATTAATCATTATTATTTGATTTAATCTTAACCAAAATTCAATAAAAAATTTTGTAACCCACCTCCACAATTTATATGTTATACTTATAGATGATTACCGTTCGTTGGTGTATAAAAAAATAGTCTTGGATTTTTTTTTACACCCAAAAATTTAAAATTTAAAAAATTTGTAATTCCATCAATTCTTGGAATAAGTTGATGATCTTAGATTCATTTGAAAGCTAAACTTTCATCATTCATCAACCAAAAAAATCGTATGTTGTAATTATGTAGACTTTAAAGATCGTTGACAGTTAACCACTCACATTAAAATTCCTTGATTTGATTAATATACAAAAAACCAACATTTTTGCATCTCTCTTCTCCTTTTCCTGGTATCATTATAGTTGCTTGCTTATACTACTTGATCATTATTAATTACATTTATCATTGTAGGACATAAAAGGAATTTTTAATGTCTATTTATAAAAAAATATAAACCATATTTATATAATATTATCTTTTAATATTATTGATTTTTAAAATAAATGATTTTACTATAAAAGACACACCCAAGTGATCAAGAGTCTGTAAATATTCACAATAATGTAATATTTGGGCATTTATTTCTACTTTTGTTTGCGCCAAACCAATTTCTGCATATACGAATATAAAGGCAAAATTTGATTTTGAGGGTCAGATTATTTTCGGTTTTATTAACAACCTGCCTTAAAATTTTCATAAAGCAGATACATATGATAAAGAAGTTATATCTCAAATTTTGTGGTGGTTGCTACACAACAAAGGGTATCAAACGAGGGTGTGAAGACATTCGATTATAAAATTTCACCATGTAAATTCGAATTTTTTACTATGATGCAAGATCATCCAAATTTTGACCATTTAGATTAGTTTTCTATCATCATTACTAAATTTGGCAGGACGGAAAATATTTTTTTAAAATACATGAATATGAACGAATCACGAAATCGCAATTTTTGAAATTCGAGCACGCGGCACAGCAATAGGAGGTCTTTAGACCGAGTCAACCATATTTAATAGGAAATTTTTGGTGTCTTACTAATAGATTTGACCCAACTGCGAAAGTAAACTACCTATCTATGAAGTTTTCATACACATTATATAAGGATTCATTTGAATGAAATATATAGATTAATTCAATAGTGAATTAAATTTAAAAAAAAACAAAATTGAGACTTCTAACTAATACAATTCTGGTTGTTCTTTGAAAATAACTTCCTAAGCAGAAAAACCACCAATTAGCCTTTCGAGGATCGCGCTTAAATAAGCAAAAGCAGCAAGTTGAAGAACGAAAATATATGGGTAAGTGTTATTAGAGCATGATTATTGTTTGAAGGCTATTCTCTAATAATTTCTAAATCTCTCAACTACTTAAAAAAAAGAAACCAAAAATCTGAATTAGTGAGTAAATGTTATCGAGATGGGTATTTTAAGAGCTTCTCTAGTTATATAATTAAAGATTGATCAAGTTTATATTATTTCTTTAAACATTAAAGTGAATAATCATCTTTGTTGTCACAAGTTTCACCACAAGTAAGTAAATTGTACTATTATCATCAGAAATTAGTCACAGAACTATACAATCAAACCTCGTTTCAACGGAGTGGCTGGACATATCATTCAAAATTTGTTGAAACGAAATTACTAATCGCGTTTCAACAAACTTTTATATGTTTTCATAACGTGTAACAAGATTTTTAACAATTCGTTGAAACGTAATTCAAATTATAATTCACTGAAACGAGAGTTTGGCTGTATATTTATCTGTACATATAATGAAAGGGCTATAATTATAAATTATTTTTTTTTACAAAGGTTTCGAATAAATGCAAAACTGGCATGGAACACGATTAAAAATAATTTTTCTCTTGATCGTGACTGTTCTTTAACCTTTCTCTTTGATTAGATTATATCAGATGACGGTGAAGAAGAAGAAGCCGAGTTTATTAACAAAAACATTACAAGTTTTGGAGGAGGTGTATTGTAAGTTTTTTTTAGCTCTATAAGTGTAATAAGCTCTTAGACTAATAACTAATCAATCTGAAATTATATGGTGATGAATTGCATTAAGAATTAATTAAAAAGTATAAAGAGTCTGAGGAAAGGTATTTGTTAAACTCCATAGAATATTTTAATAAACAATGTTCTTATAACCATGTTTAAATTTCATAATCTAGCAATTTGATAAAGTTTGGTGCTGTGGACCTCAACAAGCCAGCGTTTTTTGAACAATTAAAGATTAGTTATCAAAGACAGTTCCAAGGCTTAGAAAAAATTCTTGAAGATGAAGTAATGGCGAAAAAAAATTTATTCTTTCAAAGAAGAAGAATCTATCTATATGAAAACTTTTTAATAAATATATGAAATTTTAAATTTTGAGAGTGGTATATTTACTGATAGGGCGTGACATTTTATTTTATTAACATTGTAACAGATATTTTTTTAAAAACATAGTATCAAATTTCATAAATACTTCCTAAATACTCATCATTTTGATTATCAAGAGATGAAACATATTTCAACGCTGAACACGATAGGTCACATCTGAATTCGTTCTTAGACACTACTATTTGACTCTTTATTTTTTAGTAAAGAATACATTTATCAGTGAATATGTAATATATTTTCTTTCTTTTTTATTTTAGGCTTAATTGGTGATCTGCATTTTTTATACGCACAAAAATCTTTTTATGCCACAGGATGATTATATGTACGAATAACGTTAATCTCGGAAAAAAATATTATCTGAAAATCAACATAGTTTGTGTGAATAAAGACTTTTCTCACTGATTCATTCATGGATCGGTAATTAAGGATTCTTTTAAATTTGTTATTACGGTGCAGATCATCTATAATCATTAATCGCTTATAGTAACAATTGGTCAACTTCAAAATACTAAAACAAAAAAAAATTATATCATTTTAAAAAACTTAACCGATAAGTTTTATTATTCACGACTCAAGCTTCAAAACTTATCGGCTGGTTTTTTCTTTAAACTGAAAATTGGCTGAGCCTTAGCATTTTGAAAATTCCGAATTTTGTTATACTCCTAAAAATTCTTTACAACTAAAAAGAAAATCATCGCCAAATTTGGTCGTGAGATTCAAAATATTGTAACACGAAAATTATTGTTGTATTTCTGAGCATAACTTTCGAATTTAAATTTTTAGATTAATAGACTCCCTTTTTAAAGCTGAATTGAATGGAGGCGGGTTTTTTAAAATCCAATGTGTGGATCACATAATATTTCAAAAATTTTAACTTTTGAGTATAGATGATCCACCCGTGAAGAGTCCCTGGCAGAATCTCTAACAAAATATTTTACAGGATCCTTGAAGATTCCTCGATTTACTACTAAGTGTACCTCTTATATAATTAAATTACTGTTTCTATTGAAATGAACCACATTAAAATTAATATGTAATAACACAATTTTTTTTTCTTTGATGGTCATGTTTTAGTAATAATAAATACTTTACATTTATTTATTTACTTAGGATTCCGCACTGGATACAATTCTTTTCTAGAAAATTTTAAAAGGATACATGCTTCGTTACAAATTATATTGCGGATTTTTCACCGTGTAATATAAAGATACAAACTATCTTTTCCACAAGCCTCTACTTAAAATTTGCATATGAGTATTTCATAACATATACTCCAAATCAACGTTTTTAATTAATGAAAGAGCTTTCATTTGATATATTTTCATAACTGTAGGGGAAAATTATAGAAAATTTCGTATAGATTTAATA